CAGCCAAAATCCATTTGATTTCCACAATACTATCTCCACAGCTTTTCAATCTGTATGCAGAACAGATTATCTGATAGTCTGGGCTCTATGAGGAGAAGTGGCGTCAAGATTGGTGGAAGATCTATTAACAATCTGCGTTATGCAGATGACACAACCCTGCTTGCTGAAACTGAGGAGGACCTGAAATGCTTGCTGCAGAGGGTCAAGGACTGCAGCCTTCAATATGGATTGAGGCTCAATGTCAAGAAAGCAAAGATTCTCACCACTGGACCAATTGGCAGCACAGGATGGATACTGAAGAGACTGAGATTGTTAACAACTTTAGTCTGCTTGGTTCCATGGTCAACACTTTGGCACCCGTAGCCAAGAAATCAAAAAACGTATTTTGATGGGAAAGTTTGCTATTAGGGACCTCTCCAGGGTACTGAAAAGCAATAGTGTCACTCTGGGGACTAAGGTGCCTCTGATACAGGCCATGGTCTTTGCAATCACTTGTTATGCATCAGAGAGTTGGACAATGACTAGGGAGGACAGAAGGAGAATTGATGCCTTTGAGCTGTGGTGCTGGAGAAGAGTATTGAGTGTACCATGGACTGCCAAGCAAACAAAACAGATTCATCCTGGAGAGAGTTAAACCAGGCTTCTCCTTAGAGGCAAGGATTCTGGGGCTTCGTCTAACATACTTTGGACATGTTGCAAGGAGGGACAGGTCCTTGGAGAAGGACATCATGCTTGGTAGAGTGGAGGGACTGCGCAGGAGTGGAAGGCCCTCTATGAGGTGGATTGATTCAGTGACTGGGGTAATCGGGATGGGTGTGTCAGAGACAGTGTGATTGGCACAGGAGAGAGCAGGGTTTAGGGCTATTTTACATAGGGTCACTAGGAGTCGCAAGCAACTCGACGGCACACAACAACAACAACAACAATAACATCCTTCACTCTACATCCTCTTTTGAATCCAGCTTGAATTCCTGGCAGTTCCTTGTGCATGTATTGCACCAATCATTTTTTAATAATCTTTAAAATTTTTGGTGCATGTAGTATTAATGATTTTGTTGTATGATATCACTTCTCTGTTGGATCCCATTTTTATGGGAATGGACACAGAAATGGATCTCTCACAAGTCAGTTGGTCCAATAGCGATCTTCCAAAATTTCATGACATAGATGATTGAGTCCCTCCAAGATAAAATTCATTTTTTGATATCTCTCAACTGACTGTCAACTCCTAGAGCCTTGTTTTTCACTAATACCTTCAGTGCAGCATGGATTTTTTTTTTCCTTTTTTCTTTCTAGGGAGCTCTAGTGGCCTAGTAGCAAGAAGCTGTGCTGTAATTCTGAAGGCATTCAGTTCAAGGCCACCAGCTGCTTTGCAAGAGAAAGATGGACACTCTCCTCCTGTGTGATTAACTACCTCTGAAAACCCTCCAGAGGGTCACCTATCAGTCAGTTCCAACTTTACAATACACAACAACCACCATTGGTTTTTGATCATAAATTACTTTCTGATTCAATTTTTTTATATTAGCCAATTATTTTATTATTTTATTTTGTACAATGACTCAATTCTTCCATCTTCTTTTGATATACTCTGCCATTCACATATTTAAAATGGTCATTTTTGTGAAAGTTTCATTGCAATACTTAAAAAAATTGCAGTACTTGATAAATTACAGTTACACATGTGATTCCAACATATGGAACATAAAAGATTCACATTGACTACATATGTGGAAAGAAATTATGAAGAAGCTCATTATTATCAGTCAGACAAGACCAGCAGGTCTTAATTAATGTTCTGTGCCAGAACATTAATTGCTCTTATAAAAGGTAGAGTTGAAGGGGAAGAAAATGAAAACAAGTCCACGAGAACCAAAATACAACTTCAGCTCTAACCTACCTAAATTTAGAGACCATCTCAAGAATATCTCAAGAATATATTTGACGCATTGAACACTAATAATTGAAGATCAGATGAATTGTGACGTAAAGAATTTAATACATGTAGAAAGTAAAAGGTATTTTAAAGGAAGTGAAGAAAGAAAAGACCAAAATGGATGTCAGAACATACACAGAAGCTTGTTTGAGCATGTACAGAAGCTGACGTGGCGGGAAGAAATAAGAGTCCTAAAGAATATTTCAAAGGCAGCTCAGGGAGACAGAGAAATAGGAAGTAAATAATTTAAGTAGCTCCTGTAGAGAGTTGCACCTCCAACCCAAAAGCAATGACACTCCGGTGAAAATCCACTAGAGGTTTCATGGGACAAAAATGAACCATTTTCTCCCGTGTGATTTACAGCCTTGAAAACCAGCTGCAACTCTCATTCACAGCTGGTGGGAATGTAAAATGGTACAACCCCTATCAAAGACAATCTGGCACTTTCCCAAAAAGTTGGAAATAGAAATGCCATTTGACCCAGCAATTCCACTGCTAGGAATATACCCAAAAGAAACCAGAGCCACAACTCAAGCAGATGTATGTACACCCATGTTTATTGCTTTCTTATTCATACTAGCAAAGAGTTGGAAGCAGCCCAAGTGCCTATCAACAAACAAATGAATAAGAAAAAGTATGAAAATCCACACAATGGAATATTATGCAGAATTGAAAAACAGTGAACTTGTAAAACATTACAGGTGAGCCTGAAAGGCATTATGCTGAGTGAAATATCTCAGTTACAAAACAATAAACACTGCATAATCCCTCTGTTATAAAATAGGACTGACATGGGGGGGTAAAGAATAGGGAGAAAGTAGATATATAGTAAACACTGCATTGAAACAAATGAGGGGAAGACCTGTTTGAAAGGAATATATCAGTAGGCATTATATGTATCACAACAATCTTGAATAAGAGGTTCATTGCAAAATGGATTGGAAGAGACAGAAGGGAGGGAGGAAAACTGCACAACAATGAATGAATAAAAACCCAAACTTTCTATAAACTTTTGTTAAGAATAATCATAATAAGGGGAGCTCTGGTAGCCTAGTGGCAAGGAGGTGCAACTACAATCCCAGAGGCGCATGGTTTGAATCCACCAGATGCTCTGCCGAGGAAGGAGGGACAATCACCTCCTGTACCAGTCAGATCTGATTTGATGGTACACTCACACAAAAATAATAAAAAATAAATATTTAAAAAAATAAAAAAGAATAATCATAATAAAAAACCACACCAGAATATAGAACCTAGAAATAAACACAAACAAATTAGACCAAGTATTTTTGCATAATTGCAAAAACAATGGAAAGATAGATCACCATTTTAACATATGTCATTGGGACATTGGGTGTCCATATGTGAAAAAGAATTTGCAACCTGAGTTTCACAACATATAAAAATGTTAACTCAAAATAAATAGATAATAGAATTAAGTGTAAGACATGATACTAAAGCTTTAGAGGGAGCTCTGGTGGCCTAGCAGCAAGAAGCTGCACTGCAATCCTAGAGGTACGCCATTCAAATCCACCAGATGTTCTGCTGGAGAAGGAGGGGCAATCTTCTCCTGTACCAGTCAGATCCAATTTGACAGTACACACACACACACACACACACACCAACAACAACAAACCAAACACAAAACAAAGCTTTAGAAAGTGTCATTGAGGGAGATCTTTCTAATCTAAGGCTAAGAAATATTTCTTATACTTGATATCAAAACATGATTCACAAAAAGTAAAATGATAAATTGAACCACATTAAAAAGAAAAATATATTCTCTATGGAAGACCCTATAAAGAGGATCAAAATACAAACTAATGACTGAGAGATGTACTCTCAAGCAACATAGCTAACCAGTATCTATAACGTAGAACTAACTATATAAACCCCAAAGTACAAAAGAAACAATACAAGTATAAATGAGCAAATGCCTTAAAAAGATGTTTTACAGAAAAGAGTATGACAGAAGAGTTCACAGGAAATGTGCTCAACATCATTAATCATGAGGGAAAGAAACATCAAAACCACAGTGAGTTATCATTACACATGTATCAAAAAGTTAATATTTAAAAGTAATGACTACAGCAAATCTAGAATCACTCATGCATTGGTAGTGTATATTCACAATGGTGCAGCTCTTGGGAAAACAGACAGTTTCTTTAAAAACTAAACATATGATCATGCAATTGAACTGGGTATTTCTCCCACCCAAAAAAGTTAAAACTCATGTTTATGTAAAAAACCTTATGTGCAAGGAACTGAATTTCTCACCTTCTATTTTTGTTTTCACCTACTACTTTTTTCTCTACCTTTACCTTCCTGCAATTGTGTGCTTCCCTACTACACTTTCGCCTTCTTCATTGTTCTTTTTTTTTTTAACATGTAAATATTCTCTATCATTTGACTCATGCTTGGAAGCTCCCACTCTTTGATCACAACTTTCTCTGAACGCAACTAACCATTAAGAACCAGCTCTAATGACATCTCTTCTCCAGTCATCTCTAGCTGTTTTCATTTCATTGTTCTTTAAGGCTCCAGTGACTCAATTTGTTTCACATTTTCAGTCTGTTCAGAGGTCTACCACTACCAACCTTCTTCTGGCTGCTTCCTCTCTACCTTGTCTTTTCTTTCCATGGTGGTTTGCCCAGAATCTCTGTCACAAACTGCTCTGCTTGTGTTGTGTTCCTTAGTTCCTCACACTGGGTTATCGTTCCATGCTGTCCCATGTTTTCCAGTGTGGAAGGCAACACAGGGTAGACCTATACATCTTTGTTTTCCTGCTGACGTCCTACTGCCTCTCCTTCTAACCCTTGTTTAATCTCCTTTTTCAACTCTCTGCTTAATATGTTGGGACCTTAGGTCTTTGTGTCTTGTTTTACTTAGTTTCTCAGTTTTTTGATGTATAAAGTCATTGCAGTGTGTATATCTAAGGTATCATACTGACCTTTTCTCCTCCTTGATATTTCAAAGAATAATATTTTAAACCCAATTCATGTCTCAGTAATTTCTTTATCAGAAATGCTTACTAATATGATGTGTTTATGCGTTTTTATTTCAGTATGGACCAATATTTACAATCTTTGTTATGGGACACCGAATGACCTTTGTGACCGAAGAAGAAGGGATTAATGTATTCTTAAAATCAAAAAACGTAGATTTTGAACTAGCAGTACAACAGCCCATCTATCGTACAGGTGAAGTTTCTTACTTTCTTTTTCCTGAGAGTTCATTTGAAATATATTGCACCCAGTAATTGTTTTATGTAACAACTATATTCTCACTCTTCTACTAAGAAAGGTAATGATTTGTTATTTTATTCTTAAGGGTTAGCATAGAAGAGGGAAAAAAGTGTATGATGAGTATGTCTGGACATGGAAAAATAAATGTTTGAGAGCATAATAAATTTCTATTTAAATTAGCCACTTGTCCAAGAAGAGGTCCCCTCTCTGAATGTTTTCTTTAGTGACTATTTGGAACCTGTGTCATGTTACAGCTTCCAAGATCATGCTCTCTCTTATTCTGGTTGTATAGACACTCTTCTATGGGCTACAATCCTTGACTTGTCACATGTTCTACTCTACTTCCTGAAAGTAGAATTCTACTGCTTAATATGCTCTTTACTTTGGCATTCTCTGGCATGTCCCATAGGGTCATTAAGGTAAGTGAGAGTTGCCCACTCTTTTACAATGTGACTTGTCCTCAGAAATCATTGTGTTGTACTGGTCAGCATGTACCCGGTATGGCTGTGTTCCTTTCTTCTCATATTGTAAACGTGTGCTATAGCATTTTGTCCTTCAAATAATGCAGAGCTGGTTCATTTTGTGTCAACTACTTTCTTCAGCTCTCACAATGGGTGTTCTTGTTTCTACTATCTCTAACTTCTTTCTCTCTGCCTTCATGGTGTCTTTTCTTCTTAGTTTTTGTGTTTTGTTTTTTTCATGTAGCCTTCACTGTAATTCTTTCCATTAAGACAGAAAGTTTGCTTTAAAAGCTATTGCTGTTAAAGAACGATGATCATTTTTTCCTTCTTCTTGCTCATATGAAAAAATATTATTTGTTGAACTAGTTGTCATCACTGTGAGAGATAGGGTGCAGCATGCTTGCTTAATTTTGAGCATAACCAAAAGTTTATCTCTCTAAACAAACATGAAACACTTTGTGTGACTATTTCTGTTTAGTTAGCATGTGTTTGGTTTTATTTTTTTAAGACAGGAGCTATTACAACAGATTACATAGCAATTTTTTTTGGTTCAGGTAATCATATTTCTGTCAAATGAGCCTGGCCTTGCTATTAAGAATCTTATTTATAAATATTCTTGACCCTGGTGATAGAGAAAGGATTAAGTGTACGCATTAAACTGACTTTAGGTTGTTAGTATGTTGTTTATGAGTAGGCATGTGAGAGAAAAACAACTGCTTTATCTTTATATACATGCGTACGTGTGTATATATTTTAATGCATTCATTTGTTTTAATAGGGTACCCATATTCGTAAAGCAATGCTATTGTTGTTATTGTTGTTGTCATCGTCATTATGTGCTTTTGAACTTGCAACTCATAGTGACCCTATGTACCCTGCTCTATCCTGTGCCAACGATACTGTCTCTGACACACCTACCCTCATTACCCCAGTCACTGAATCAATTCATCTCATCAATGGTCTCCCTCTCTCTGTCCCTTCACTCTTAAAAGTGTGATGTCCCTCTCCAAGGACTGGTCCCTCCTTGCAACATGCCCAAAGTCTGTCAGAGGAAGCTTCAGAATTCTTGCCTCCAAGGAACAGCCTCATTTCATCCTCTCTAGGACAAACCTGTTTATTCTCCTGGCAGTCCATGGTATATTAAATACTCTTCATCAACACCACAGCTCAAAAGTGTCAATTCCCTATTTATCATACTTAGTCATTATCTAGTTCTCTGACACATAGCAAGCAATTGAAAATACTATGGCCTGGGTCAGGTGCATCTTAGTCTCCAGATTGATTTCGTTAGTAGTAAGCATTATATTATGTACTTTAGACCAGACATCTTGTATCAGTTAGAAAGACAAAGACAAAATTACATAAGTAATTTTGATTTTTGAATGCCTAACTGCAGGGCAAAAGCTATTTATAGTTAGAAAAGACCACCTAGAGAAGGTGATATGCATAAAGATAGATGAGGTTTGACTAGAATTTAGTAGAAGAAATTGGAGCTTGCTGATGTTGGTATGTTTGTGTAAGGTTGATAAAGTGGAAAATATTCCAAGCAGACAGAACAGCTTATTAAAATGCTTTCATTTAGGATCAATCAGTGAAAAGAAGGTCTTGGTGATAGAAATTATCCCAGACATCATATGAGAGAATTTTGCAAGACCAATGGCATATTCATCGGAAATACCATTTTTTTTCAACATCATGAATGATAACTGTACACATGGATCTTCCCAAATGAATACACAGGAGTCAAATCAGTCGCATCTGTAGAAAGAGATGATGAAGAAGCTCAATATCATTAGTTATAAGGCTAGAGTTAACTGTAGAACATCAATTGCTCATATGCAAGTTCAAGTTGAAACTAAAGGAAGTTAAAACAAGTCCCTGAAAGTCAAAGTACAGCCTTGAGCATACCCCATCAGTATTTTAGAGACCATCTCAAGAAGAAATTGAATGCAATAAACTCTAGTGGCAAAAGACTAGATGAGTTTTGGAATGATATCAAAGGGGGAAAAGCCTGAGAAAAACTGGATAAATTATGTATACTGCATTGAAACAGATGAGGGAGAAAGCAATTTAAAAGCGATATATGATAGGGTATTATGGTTATCACAAGAGTCCAGAATTAAGGTTGCATAGTGGAATGTATTTGGGGTGGTGGGGTGGGGATGTGGAGGGATTGTATACCAATGGAAGAATTTTTCTTTTACTTTTCAAAGAGAGGAACAAACTAGGGGGAGGGGGTAAGGGCTGGGCAGGGAGAAAAGTGTAACAGTGAATGAATGGAAATCCAAAATCTCTGTAAATGTTCATCAAAATTAATTTAAAAAGGGGAGGGAGAAAGGAAGGACAGAAAATCCCAAATAGATGTCAAAAGTGATTCTATAACTTGCTATTAAATGTAAAATTGCTGAAGCAAATGGGAGAAAAGATAAAGTGAAAGAGATGAACAGATTTCAAAAGACAGCTGGAGAAAAGAAAGTGAAGTAATGAAATGTGGAAAATAAACACAAACAAAACCCTTGGAGTTAAAAGGAAAAAAAAAAAAAGGAAGAAGAATCTCAGAATTTCTTAAGCCAAAAGACTGAAAGAAAACATTCCAGCTTTGTAAGCATGGGGTGGTTGGTGGCATGAGGATTATAATACCTGATTTCTACTAACTTTTCAAGAGTGAAGACTATCTGTCAATATCAACAATACAAAGCTAATTCCAGTTAAGACAGATATGTACTCCTCCTTCCCTCTAAAAAAAAAGTCTTTTAACAAGTCTACCCCTAACTCTTCTTCCTAAAAAACTCACTTCTTCTCTACTGGGTTCAATAATTTATTGCTGTTACCACACAAAACTCAGAGACAATATTTGAATTCATAGGTTTTGTTAGGGAAGCTGAGTTCTGATGACCTAGTCTAACCCAAAGGCAGTGCTTCAAATCCACCAGTGGCTCTGAGGGAGCTAGATGGGTAATCACTACCAGTTTAATTTACTACCTCCCAAAGCCTACTATAGAGTCAGTTATGAGTGAGTTTCTACTCCATGGTCATGAGTCTGAATTTTTATTAGGAATGTAGCAATACAATGCATGCTTAGCAACTCTCAGGATACAGTTATCCAATTAAGACCATCTTTTCTCCTAAACTATACCAAAAAGTAGGCCTCTCTTTTTTTGGCCCTCAGACTCAGAACCTTGGTCTCTGCCCTCCTTGGGGAAATATTACAAAGTTGGATGTTTTCAACATCATGGATTTGTTTTCATTTGTAATTTGAGTTCAAGTTTATAAAGCAAAATTTTAAGCAGTCATACACATAATTTGTTCCATAACACTAATTACAATGTGTAACATTGAGACACACAATGTTTGACATTGAACATACGGAGTTCTTTTAGCTCTGCCAACTATGCTCCCAGTGGCACCCCTACTTTATTAATAAGCATGCTTCCTGAAGGGTTTAGTTCTATGGCTTTCTGACAAATGTCTGAAGGCCCCTTTGCATTGCCCAGGAGCCCACAATCTGTCTCATGTTGGTTCCCTGGAGTTCTGATGCTTCCATCTCATGGTCTGGCACCTTCTGTCTGGTTTTATAAATCTTCAGCTTTGGTTCGCACAGGGATCTAAGGTACCAAGATTGTACTGTACTCAGTTTCTTCATTCTTAATGGTAGTTCTTGTTGTTAAGTGCCATCAAATCATAGACCACTCATAGCAACCCTATGAACGAAAGACCTGAACACTTGCATAACTTTCATCCTTTCTCCCAGTTCAAAGAGTTTCCAGAGGGAAGCTATTTCAGAAGTGGATGCCACTCCTGCTTCCAAGTTTGTTTTAGTTGGGGAGCTCCACCAAATACTGTCCACCATGGGTAACCATTATCACATTTGGCACATCAGTGTCACAGTGTTTAGCACCACAGCAACCATGAGTTACTGCTATACAACAAATGGACAGACCAGTGTTGTACCACTTAGAAGAATGTTTGACCAAAAATAATTAAAGCCAGGCCTGAGTGCCACAGGTTAAAATTACCCAACTTTGGCTTAGTAGCGTAACTTTCTATCCACTAGGCCAACAGAGCTCTCTCTATGTTGTTGTTGTTGTTAAGTGCCATTGAGTCATAGATGACTCATAGCGACCCTATGAATGAAATACCTGAACACTTGAATAACTTTCATCGTTTCTCCAAGTTCATAGGGTTTCTGGAGTCAAGGTTTTGGAAGTGGATGCCATTCCTGCTTCCAGGCTTGTTTTAATTGAGGAGCTCCACCAAACACTGTCCACCATGGGTAACCATTATCACATCTGACACATCAGTGTTACGGTGCTTAGCATCACAGCAACCAAAATTTCCACCTCTGGAATGGCTCATTTTAAGACTGAGGGGATGGCAAAATTGACCAATTCCAACATTTGCTTTCTACACATCTTATTTGATCCTGCCTTAAAGGTACCATTTATCTTATTTACATTTTTCAAAAGCTATCTAGTCCTCTTTGTAGGCCACACATATCTCACATATTCGTTGTCCTATCCAGTCATGTAAACTCTCTGCTGTTAAGTTGAATCTGACTCACAGTTACCCTCCACTGAGTTTGAGCCTGTAAACTTTTGAGAGGAGACCACCCATCTTTCTCCCATGTGGTATCCAAGTGCTAGCCTTTTAGTTAGCAGCATTGCGATGGGAAAGTCTGATGTTAGGGACCTCTTCAAAGTACTGAAGAACAATGGTGTCACTCCGGAGTCTAAGGTGCGTCTGATACAGGCCCTGGTCTTTGCAGTCACTTGTTATGCGTCAGAGAGCTGGACAATGACTTGGGAGGATAGAAGAAGAATTGATGCCTTTGAGCTGTGGCGCTGGAGAAGAGTATTGAATATACCATGGACCGCTGAGAAAATGAACAGGTTCATCTTGGAGAAGGTTAAACCAGGCTGCTTCTTGGAGACAGGGATCCTAAAGCTTCATCTGACATACTCTGGACATGTTGCAAGGAGGCACCAGTCCTTGGAGAGGGACGTCATGGTTGCGAGTGTAGAGAGACAGTGCAGGAGAGGAAAACCCTTTATGAAGTGGATTGATTCCGTGGCTGGAGTAATCAGGGTGGGTGTATCAGAGACAGTACGATTGGCACAGAACAGAGCAGGGTTTAGGGATGTCGTACATAGGGTCGCTATGAGTCGCAAGTGACTCGATGGTACATAACACCACCAACAACGTTACATAATGTGCCACCCTGGTCCGGTGTAACCACAGCAAAGATTGTGAGATGGCACAGGATCAGATAGGGTTTGCTTCATTTTATGTAGTCACTATGTATGGTGTCACAATGAATTAAATAGAATAGAAAGCTGCTGTCAGGGATTTCTCCAAATTACTAAGGAGCAACAATGTCAGTCTAGAGACTGAGGTGCTCCTGGTCAAGTCATGGTCTTTGCTTTTGTACACTGTGCATCAGAGAGTTAAACAATGCTTAGAGTTGACAGAAAAAGGATTGATGACTTTGAATTGTGGTGCTGAAGAAGAGTATTGAACATACCATGGACTGCCAAGAAAAAAAACAGGTTTGCCCTAGAGAGGGTGAAACCAGGCTTCTCCTTCGAGGCAAGGATTTTGAAGGTCCTTCTTACATATTTTAGGCATGTGACCAGGAGAGATCAATCCCTGGAGAAGGACATCATGCTTGGAAAAGTGAAGGGACACCGCATGAAAGGAAGACTCAAGATGAGATACATTGACATAGTAACTGGGGTTATGGGGGTTGGGGTACCAGAGACAGTGAGATTGACTCAAGATAGGGCGGGGTTCAGAACTATTTTACATAAGTTGCTGTGAGTCTCAGGTGACTCAATGGCACATAACAACAACAACAATATGGTACCTAACAAAACTGAGTCATGTTTTGAGAGTTACAAAAGACCATAGTTAGAAAAAACCATACCATATAATTCACTGTATCACAAGCTTTGATTTACAACATTGGAAGATTCTTTGGGAGGAAATATTGAATATTATAGCAAGCAACAAAAGAAGATGTAAGGAATATGCAAGATTATTATGCCAAAAATAATTGGTTGATATTTACTCATTGCAAGAGGCATCAGATGATTAAAAACCAATAGTACTAAAGGAAGAATTTCAAGGTACACTGAAGAACTGGTAAGGATAGAAATTAATGGAACATTCAGTGTGATGCTTCAGCAGACAGATACAGTGCTAGAGCGACTTAACTCATCTATGCCAAGAAATTGGAAAGACAGATATCTGGTCAGTTGATTGGAAGAGATCTGTATTTGTGCTCAGTCAAAAAAAAAAAAAAAGAGAAAAAAGAGAATCCAACAGAAAGCAGAAATTATGGAATGATATCTATTATCATATTCAAGTAACATCTTGCAGAAGAAGCTATTTTTTAAAATGTTTGGAGCTGTACATAGACAAAGAACTGCCCAATATGTAAGGTGGATTCAGATTAAGATATGGAACAAGAATATCATTGCTGACATCAGGTAGGTCTTTACTAAAAGAGATGGATTTTTACTGAAAGCAGAGAATACTATAAATATGCCTCCCTGTATTTAATTAATTAGGCAAAGGCATTCAACATGTGAGTCATAACGTATTATGGACAACATTTCAAAGAATAGGGATTATAGAACACTTTCGTTGTGCTCATTTGCAACTTGTATATAGGCATTTATTCAAACAAAGCAAGTTATTGCACGGTTTAAAATCAGAAAAAAAGTTAAGGATTATATAGTTAATTTTCTGAAAGCAAACAAGTCTTGAGGTAGTTTCCAATGAAGAGAAAAGACTACAGCCTTCACTATGGATTGCCCCTTAAACAAAAGTAAAACAAGAATCCTTATTAATGGTTCAATAAGCAACATGACAATAAATAGAGAAAAGCTTGAAGTTGTCAACAAGTTCATTTTAATGGAACCCACAATACCCATAGAAGCAGCAGTCAAGAAATAAGAGAAGGTAATGTATGTCACCAGTCTGCTTCAAAGATCTCTTTAAAGTGTCAAAAGCAATGAAGTGTGTCACCTTGAAGACTAGAGAGCTTCAGACCTCTGCCATGATGTTTTCAATCACATCCTATGTACGTAAAAGCTGGATAATGAACAAGGAAGACCAAAGAATTGATGTATTCGAGATGTGGTTGTTGACTTGGATTATTGCCTATACCAAGGCTTTCCAGAAGAATAAGTAAATCTGTCTTGGAAGAAATATAGCCAAGTTTCTCCTTAGAAGCAAGGATGTTGAGATTTCATTTTATTTACTTTGGGCAAATTGTTAGAAGGACCAGTCCTCAAAGAGACACAACATTCATGATAAAATAGAACATCAGTAAAAACATGAAGACCTTCAATAAGGTAGATTGACACAGAGAGTACAGTAATGGGCTCAAATATAACCAAGTTTATGATTATGGTAGAAGAGCAGGTAGCAGTTTAGTTGGGTTTTTTTTTATATAGGGTAGCATTGTTGATGTCAGGTGGATCTTGACTAGAAGCAGAGAATACTTGTGTCTTATTGATTATGCAAGATAATTTGACTATATGGATCATAAGAAAATTATAGCTAACATTGAGAAGAATGAGAATCCCAGAACTTAACTGTAGGCATGTGAAACCTCTACGTAGACCAAGAAGCAGTTGTTCAAACAGAACAAGGGAATACTGTGTGCTTTTAAATCAGGTAAAGTGTGCATCAGGACTGCATCCTTTCTCTATACCTATTCAATTTGTATGCTGAGCAAATAATTCAAAACAAGGTGTTGTAGAAACATACTGACTGCCTACTTAACACAAGTGTTGCTTATTTTGAAGACAGTTTTCTCTCTTTACAGCATCCATTCCAGAGAAGGTATTTTTGGCTCTCCATGAGAAAATCTTTGTTGTGTTGAAAGGGAAGCTTGGAGCTTTTAATATATATCAGTTAAGTGAGCAACTGACTGATGAACTGCATGGACAACTGGAGAATTTAGGCACTCATGGGACGATTGATCTGGTCAACTTAGTAAGGTAAGCAGATGCATGAAATAGTTAATCTTAACTTTTTTAGTTTTAAAAGGTCACTGCCACCCAAACAGATGTATGCACACCCATGTTTATTGCTGCATTGTTCACAATAACAAGGAAATGGAAGCAACCCAAGTGCCCGTCAACAAATGAATGGACAGAGAAGCTGTGGTATAGTCACACATACTGTGCAGCACTGAAAAACAAGAAACTCATAAAATACAATGGGTGACCCTCGAGGACATTATGCTGAGTGAAAGATCTTACTCACAAAAGGACAAATACAGCGTAGTCCCAACATTGTAAAACAGGACTGACATGGAGATTGGGGAGAAACTAAGAAAAGAGGGGATAAATAATGAACACTGCATTTAAATTGATGAAGGAAAGAACTGTCTAAAAGAAACATCTCATTAGGTATTATTTGCATAACAATAGTCCAGAATAAGAGGTGCATAACAAAGTGGACTGAGAGAGGTGGAGGAGGGAGGAAATTGTGCAACAATGAAAGAATCTTTTTAAAGAGAAAAGCGAATGGGGGTGGGAAAGACCGTAGGGAGGAAAATGTGCAACAATGAATGAATGAAAATCCAAGTTTTCTGTAAACTTTCATTAATATATCAATAAAAAATAAATTCTTTAAAGTGTAGATTAAAAAAATCACAATTTAAAAGGTACCTGGTAAATTAAGTTTAGCTGATGAGGCATTAGTTGTTGTTGTTGTTATGTGCCGTCGAGTCCTTTGCGACTCATAGCGACCCTATGTACAACAGCCCTAAACGTGGGTCTATCCTGTGTCAGTCACATTGCCTCTGACACACCCATCCTGATTACCCCAGTCACCGAATTAATCCACCTCATAGAGGGCCTTCCTCTCCTGCGCTGTCCCTCCACCCTCCCAAGCATGATGTCCCTCTCCAAAGACCTGTCTGTCCTTACAACATGTCCAAAGTATGTCAGACGAAGCCCCAGAATCCTTGCCTCCAAGGAGTAGCCTGGTTTAACCCTCTCTAGGATGAGGCATTAAGAAGTCCATTAATTAAAAAAAAAAATACAACTAATGGATAGTTTCCAGTTCTGCATTTCTAAGGCAAACCAATGTAATCAACTATGTCAATAAAATAATTGTAATAGGTTTACTTTTACTTCTCCTTGTCTATTCTATAAAGGTGAGTATGCTCTACATGAATTTCCCCCTTTAATTACCATATACCATTATAATTTTTTATTAGCTCAAGGGAATATTGAAGAGCCAAGGGGAAAATAGAGTCATAAAGTTGATGACGAAAAACCAGGAGATGTGTTTAGGATAACATAAGGCGGCTGAGGCAAAGCCAGTGTAAACCTTCTTCTAGAAGGCAGGTGCCAGGAGATAAAGCAGAGCAACAGAGGGCATCCTGGAGCACCCTGCCATATTCTGAAACATTTTAGCCAAATTGGGGGCCAACACAGTGGCCACAAGGAAGATTCTCCACGTGTATAAGGAAATCAGTAAAATGAAGTTACTTTCCATTTCAGTGACTTCCTTGGCTTATGGAAGATGACATTCAACAGATTTGCCCGCAAAACAGAATGGCATTGAACATTTATTAGAGGTCCAGAGAGAACGAGAGAAAACAAAACAAAACAAAAAAGAAAATAAAATAATTAACCAAACTTTTAGAGTATCTACTACCTGCAACAAATGCAACAAATAGTTTATCTTTGAATTTTTTGGGGGAGGAGAGAGATTCTAAAATATCTAGTGGCAAATGAAAACTAAGCACATTATATTTAGTGTTACTATTTTCCAGGACGAGAGCACTGGTCCATATGCAGTTGTACTGCGAACCCACTGGCCACACCTCTCTCTGACAGTTCAAATCCACCAGCCTCTGCAGGAGAAAGATAGGCAGTTTCCTCCTGTGTGATTTACAGTCTTAGAAACCAGGGTCAGCTATGAGTTGGCTTTGACTTAAAGAGCAGTGAGTTTTAAGTTGGCGCATGTTCACAATCTTTGATACTCTTTTTCTAAAAGATATCCAGTGACTATTATAATAAAAGTTAAACTTAATGATATAACAAACCTGCTTGTTGGGTCTTAGAAGGACCTGAAGCACTTGCTGCCGAAGGTCAAGGACTGCAGCCTTCAATATGGATTGAAGCTCAATATCAAGAAAACAAAGATTCTCACCACTGGGCCTACTGGCAGTGCCATAACAGAGGGAGAAGAGATTTGAGATTGGTAACAGCTTTAGTTTGATGGGTTCCACAATCAACACTCTTGGCAGCAGTAGCCAGGAAATCAAGACGAATTGCATTGGGAGAGTCGGCTGTCAGAGACCTCTCCAAAGTACTGAATAGCAATGATACCAGTCTGGAGACTAAGGTATGCCTGATCCAGGCCACAGTCTTAGCAGTTGCTTGCTATGCATCAGAGAGCTGGACAATGACTAGGAATGATAGAAACATAATTGAGTTGTGTTGCTGGAGAAGAGTATTAAATATACCATGGTTCATCCTGGAGAGGGTAGGATCAGGCTTCTCCTCGGAGGCAAGGATTCTCAGGTTTTGTCTGACATACTTTGGGCATGTTGCAAGGAAGGACCAGTCCTTGGAGAAGCACATTATGCTTGGAAGGGTGGAAGGGCAGAGAAAAAGAAGGAGACCCTCAGTGAGATGGATTGATTCAGTGACTGGGGATGAGTGTAGGTGTGTCAGAGACAGTAAAGATGGCACAGGATAAAACAGGTTTCAGGGCTATTGTACATAGGTAGGGTCACTATGAGTTGCAAGTGACTCGACAGCACATAACAACCAGGATAACATATTTAATATAGTATAATTAAACCTTTCCTGTGAAATAGTAGGGAATGTTGTGACTAATATTAATGAATAATAATCTTTGGCTATGGTTCATGGGTTGGGTATGTTTTGTTGGTTTTTTTTTTAATACTTTCTTGACTTGACTACCATTACCATAGCCAAAGCTCTGTATGGGCTAAAGCTTAGTATATCTTTATTAGATAAATAAATATTTGTTCAATTGTATGAATTTATTTCTATCTACTACTTAACATTTGTTGAAATATAATAATACTTGCTTATAAAGCCTGTGAAAATCTTTAGATGAATAAGACTATAAGTTCTCTTATCCCACATTATTTTGTTCACAGTAATTCAATATTAAAATCTCTTAGAAGTAATTCTACTCCAAAGACTGATTTTGTCATGGATTATTACAACAACAACAACAATAATAATAATAATAATAGAATAACTATTACATAATATTTTTTGTCTCACTTTTCATATTTTTCTGTCTTTGTAGGCATGTCCTTTATCCAGCCACCACAAGCATCCTCTTTAAAAAAGACTTTATCCCCACAAACAAGAGTGAAACCAAGAAATTTTATCAACATTTTCAAACTTATGATGAAAGTTTTGAATATGGGTCCCAGTTGCCAGAATGTTTCTTAAGGTAGAAAATTGTTTCTTATAATTAATACATTGACTGCCTCTCAGTAATCTACACATTTGTCTGTTCTAAGTAACCATTAATTGGAGAAAAACTCCTATTTATTGTCTCTGGTTTGGGTGTGTACAGATTGCAGTAGGAATGAGAGAGTGATGGTATCTCCAAACTTCACCATCTTTCTCTTCTTAATTTGATGAACAACAAAAAACAAGCAGAACATTTTGTCCCATTTTTTTCCTTGTTATTATCATCACATGCATTGCTACAGTTTAGATCCATGTTGAATGGTCGAGTGTGACAAGTCTCAGAAACAGACATTACTATCTATTCTCATTGTCTCTGAGGCAAAAGGAATCTTTTTGTGTGGTAAATGTCTTCCTACAGACGATTCAGACTACTTAATAGAAAATGGTTTGAATGCAAAGTAGCTGAGTAATTTTAAAAAGTTTCTTGGTAATACGTCCACAGTGGTTACTAATCTGGTAACTTAAAAAAAGATGAAAACCAATTTGCTTTCCCTGGCTAACTCTGATGACTTTGATCCTTGTTCTGGTGGGATTTTTTTAAATTTTTTTTTCCCCTCTCACAGTTTGGGATAGAGTGAAAATAGACAGAGCACATTGAGGATGCTGTTTTCTTATTAGTAGCAACTCTATACAAATTTTAATATTTAGTCACACAAGATAATAAAACAGTGTCTGCCATGTGTTTTCAAGTATATTCTAGACTGATAATTTTTGAAGGTGCTTCCTCGGAGAAGCTGTACTATGTGAAAAAAGAATGTGGTGTTAGTATTGGAGGAAGACTTACCAGTAATTTGTGATAGGCAGATAATACAACTGTTCTGACTTAATGTGAAAAGACTTTGAAGTTCTTGCTGAAGAAAAACAAACTCTACAGACTTCTTTAGAGACCCCTGGCGTCCTAGATTGTAGGTTAAAGTGCCAAACCCAAAATAATCAGTTCAAATACACCAGAAGCTCTGAGGGAAAAGATAGGCAGTCTCCTCCAGTGTGATTTACAGCCTCTGAAAACCCAGTGGACAGTCAACTATGAGGGGATGTCAACTCAACAGCAATGAGTATGGCTTTTTTCCCCCCGCTAGGCAATCAATAGGTTTTATTTATGCTGCTTTGAGAAAAAGAGACAAAAGACAACCCTTCATAATTGTCTTAACAGCGATCTCAGTTGTGAGGATAATATACACTTTAATAAAGTGCAAGTAAATATAGAAGTATTTACATATATTGTGATTGCTGTTGTTATGTGCCCTTGAGTCAGCTAAGCCTCAGAGCAACCCTATACACAATAGCTATGAACCCTTCCTTGTCCTAAGCCAGTCTCACTGACTCTGGTACACCTACATTTCCCCAGTTACTGTGCCATCCCCTCCAGGGTCTTCTCTTGAGCTGTCCCTCCAGCCTTCCAAGTGTGATGTCCTTTGCCAAGGACTGGTCCCTTCTGGCAACATGGCCAAAGTATGTGAGATGAAGCTTCAAAATCCTTGCCTCCAAAGAAAACCTGCTTTTTCTTCAGGACAAACCTGTTTTTTCTTTAGGCAGTCCATGATGTATTCAGTTCTCTTCTCCAACAAACAATTCAAAGGCATCAATTCTTCTTCTGTCATCCTTAGTCATTGTCCAGCTCTCTGATGCCTAGTGAACAACTGTGAAGACCATGACCTATATCAGAAGCACCTTAGTCTCTAGACTGACATCATTGCTCTTCAGCGCTCTGGCGAGGTCCCTGACAGCAGATTTTCCTAATACAATTCAGCTTTTGATTTCCTGACTGCTGGTGTTGATTGTGGAGCCAAGCAAACTGAAAATGTTAACAATTTTAATCTCTTCTCCATCTATTATGGTGCTACCCATTGGCCCAGTGGTGAGAATCTTTGTCTTCTTGATGTTGAGTTTCAATCTGTATTGAAAGCTGCAGTCCTTGACATTTTGTAGCAAACACTTCAGATCCTCTTCAGTTCCAGCAAGTAAGGTTGTGTCATCTACACAACACAGACTGTTTCCTCCAATATGAGGTTTCCTCCAATCCTGATGCCACATTCTCCTCATAAAATCCAACCTCCTAAATGATCTGTTCTGCATATGGAACAAAAAGGTATGGATATAGGATGCATCCCTGGCATGCACCTTTCCCAGTTTTGAATCATGCAATGTTTCCTTGCTTTGTTCTAACAACTGCCTCCTGGTCCAAGGATAGGTTTCGTATAAGCACAATCAGGTATTCCAGAATTCCCATTCTTCTTTGAGTTGGCCACAGTTTGTTGTGATCTACAGCATCAAATGTCTTTGCATAGTAAATTAAACATAGGTAAACATTCTTCTGATACTCTCTGCATTAAAGCACAATCTGCCTGACATTCACTATGATGCCCATAGTGCCACAGCCTCTTCTAAATCCAGCTTGTATTTCTAGTAGTTCTCTGTTGATGTGTAAACTGGCCACCATACACAGAACTAACCTGTAATGGAGGAAAAAGAATCATTATTCACCTGATTTTAAAAAATTAAAATATCAGTGTAATTTATGTGGGAATAAAGTGAAAGAGAAAGCAATCATCATTGAAAAACCCTGTGTCCTGAGAAGACTTCTTAAAAATTTTTAATTGGTTTGGTTACAAAGTTTGTTATACATTTTCACACTATTCTTCATTCACATTGTGTTTCATACAAACATTCTCATGCATCATGTTTTATAAAATCATTCACCACTGGACTTTGCCCAGCATTACCCCATCTTTTAACCCAAATCTTTCACTTTCATTTCCCCCTTCCTCCACCCACCAAACTGTGCAACCCTGTGGTTTCATCAGAAAATGTAGAAATATTTTACCCCTCTACCTATTTCAGAAGGTCAAGGACTGCAGCCTTTAATATGGATTGAAGTTCAACATCAAGAAAACAAAGATTCTCACCACTGGGCCAATTGGCAACATCATGATAAATGGTAAAGAGATTGAGATTATTAACAGCTTGAGTTTGCTTGATTCCACAATCAACATTCTTGGTACCAGCAGCCAGGAAATGAAAAGACATATTGCACTGGGAAAGTCTTCTGTCAGAGACCTTGCCAAAGTACTGAAGAGCAATGATGTCAGTCTGGAGACTAAGGTGTGCCTGATACAGGCCATAGACTTTGAAATTACTTGCTATGCATCAGAAAGCTTGACGATGACTAGGAACGATAGAAAGAGAACTGATGCCTTTAAGCTGTGGTTCTGGACAAGAATATTGAATATAATGTGGACTTCTAGGAGAACAAATAGATTCATCTTAGAGAGGGTGATATCAGGCTGCTCCTTGGAGGCAAGGATTCTGAAACTTCATCTGACATACTTTGGACATGTTGCAAGGAGGGACCAGTCCTTGGAGAGGGACATCATGCTTGAGAGGGTGGAGGGCCAGCGCAAGAGAGGAAGATCCTCGATGAGATGGATTGATTTAGTGACTAAGGTAATGGGGGTAGGTGCGTCAAAGACAATGAGATTGGCACAGGCTAGAGCAGGGTCACTCTATGAGCCACAGGTGACTCAACAGCACATAACAACAACAACAACAACAACCCGTTGAAAAAGAAAATATTTCTCCAGTACATCCAGTTTTTTCTGGGCTTTCTCTACCCACGGTGCTGGTGTAGACAGCTGGTGCGAACTTATTCCAGAGATGAGTAGTAGAAATATGCACTCTGTCAGGAGTGGGTGCACTATTCCTCCTGGCCTCCCTTCCCACTTCCTCCAAGATGGTAGTGCCTTTTCCTTTTTTGACAGCCTTCAGTATGGATTATATTTCAGTATCAAGAAAGCAAAAATTCTCCCCACTGAACTGATAGCCAATGTCATGATAAATGAAGAGAAGACTGAAGTTGTCAATGATTTCATTTTCTTTGAATACCCATGGTAACATCAAGGACCTCTTTTTTTAATTTTATTTTTGAGGTTTTGGGTTCATTTATATTGTGTTTCTTAGTATTTCCATACATTATAAAATTAATCACTATTTATCTATGCCTACTATTGACCCATCTCTTCAGATCCCCACTGGATCTTTTTCTAATTCCTTCACCGCCTCCCTCCACCCACCAAATTCTGTGACCCTATCGTCTACCTTCCCCCCACTCTTTTTCCTCCCCCCTCCCTCTTTGGATGCACATCTGACTAGTTATCCTTGTGTTTTACAACAATAGTTTTATGCAGCATTAATCCTTATAGGCCTGAGTTAGTTCACTCAGCTTAACAGTCTCTAGCCTCTCCCATGTTATATAGCATGTTTGAAAGTATTGACCCTGAGTGCTGCATAGTATTTCATCATGTGAATGGACCACAATTACTCAAGCCACTCATTTGTTAATGGACATTTGAGCTGTTTCTGTGTTCTTGATAGCGTGACTAACAATGCTAAGAACATCAAGTTCAAATCTCTATATCTCAGTTCTATTTTCTTCAGGGAAATATTTCCTTCAGTGGAATATCTGGGTCACATGTTAGTAGTGGAATGTTTCTGTTTAGCTTTTTGAGAAAATGCCAAATGGTCTTACAGAGTCGTATCATTTTACAATCCATCAACAGTATATGGGAATTCTAATCTCTTCACATCCTTTACAACATTTATTGCTTACTGTCCTGTTAAACTTTGTCTCTCTACTAAGATGAAATGGTATCTCATCGAGGTCTCTTATTGCCAGTGATTTTGAGCATTTCTTCATGTATCAGTTGGCCATCCAAATGTCTTCCTCTGTGAAAACTCTTCCCATGTCTTTTGCCCATTTTGTAATTGGGTTATCAATCTTTTCCTTCTGGGGGTCCTGTAGCAGTCTGTAAATTTTTGTTGAGATCCTTGTCTGATATGTCATTGCCAAATGCTTTTCCAAGACTGTAGATTTTCTTTTCACCCTTTTGGAAATAGGTTTTGAGGCACACAGTTTTTTAATCTTTAGAAGGTTCTGTTCATTGATGTTATCCTCTCCTAGTTGTGCATTTCTGGCTGCAT